GCTTTTACTGAAGATAAAGTGAGAGGCAGTGTGCTAATTTGGAAAATTAGCACACTGCTAAAAAAAAAAAAAACACTAATAACTCAAATCATTTCACAGGAAATAAAATAATTGTCGGACTTTGTTCAATTCATTATATATATATATATATATATATATATATATATATATATATATATATATTTTTTTTATTATTATATCATTTTGGAAGTATAAAACCATAGCCCGAACACGCTAGCTGTGTCGGCTGTGATGATACAAATAGGCTTTTACTGAAGATAAAGAGAGGCAGTGTGCTAATTTGGAAAATTAGCACACTGCTAAAAAAAAAAAAAAAAACACTAATAACTCAAATGATTTCACAGGAAATAAAATAATTGTCGGACTTTGTTCAATTCATTATATATATATATATATATATATATATATATATATATATATATATATATATATATTTTTTTATTGTATTATATCATTTTGGAAGTATAAAACCATAGCCCGAACACGCTAGCTGTGTCGGCTGTGATGATACAAATAGGCTTTTACTGGGTGAAGTGAAGTATTCGACATCAAACCGATGATTCTGATTTGCCCTATCGTTGTCGACAATAACAAGACAATCCAGTTCGTGTTGCTAATATTCGCCAACCGATGAGGAGAGAAAGTAGATGAAGACTATTCAAAATGTATTTCTCTGAAAGCAAAGGCAACAATCTCGAATAGAATTTGAACTCAGCTCAGAATGTTTATCCCACTTTCTTATCCGACATGCGCGTGTTTACAAATAGGTAGACATAAAAAAAAAGTTTTAGTATGTTTCTGTTTACTGAAAAGTTGTGTTTTGTAAATCCTTTGAGACAGGAAAATAAATGCAATATTAACATTAATAATAACGAAAATGTGGGAAAACTTGTGCGTGATTTCAGGAATTTGTGAGGACAGTTATTGAAAGATTATATGACCAAATTTGTGATTCTGAATTATAAATACATAAAGATATAACGAATGTAATCGATTCACTAATACGAAGAGAAAATTGTTAGTCAAAAGAGAAATACGTAAGATTCAAGTATCAAAGCAACTCAACGAACAAAAAGAGAAAACAACCTTTCAATTTTTTTTTTTCGAATAGTTCCACACAAATGCGAGGAGAAAATGTAACCACCTCAGTCGGCAATAAATCGTTAGTTCATGTGATACATTCGTTGACAGAGTTTTAAAAACCTTTTGCTTAACTACACATCTTAAAATATCGCCGGCGTGAAATCTCATGTTTATCCAGTCAGTAGGACCGCTACTTCATGCAGACAAAGAACTTGATGAAGGGATGTTTGAAATATTGTAAAAACAGCTATACAATTTGTAAAAATATTAGTTCAGACATTTCGAGCCAGAGATTTGAGGGTGTTTATGTACTAGTCTCTGCAAAAGTTTCAAGTACCAAATTACTATTATATATATATATATATATATATATATATATATATATATATATATATATACAAAGAAATAATCCCGCATAGAATCAATCAGCAATATTAATGCTATTATCGGCGACATCCATCGCTAGTAGTGTATAATGTATGCATTAAAATACTGTTAATGCATAGAATGATGTGATCCTCATTTATAAAACTGTTGTCTGTTGTTTCCAGTTTATATTCTTTTAAAATGCAAGTACTTTCGAATAATCCTTTATTCATCTTCAGGCATATCTTTTCCTTATAAAATCAAAACTTGGAGACGAAATAATTGTTTGTAGACCGAAAGCTGTTCATGACATATTAACTGAAAACACCTGTAAAAATAGAATACGTGGCTTTACCACATCACAAGAAAAGTTCAAATAAAATTCTCACTTAAAATTTTGAAAAAACTTAGCGTTGCGTCTTTGCACGTTCCGATATACACAACCGTCATTAATAGCACATTCTAAAAAAAAACAAAAACATCTTTGAAAAAAATATAAACTGCAAACAACATATATGCCCTTCCCTGATAGTATCAAAATTTCCAAGCTCTCTTTCCTCATCATGTACACTTGTAATTGTCTCTTTTAGATGCTACATATAAATGCTCTTGTCATTTGTTGTTTCTCTGAAGCCTTGTCGATGCTCAAGTGTTCAGTCCATGGGAATCTCAGCCCCTTCTGGATAAACAAATTTCTGTTGCCTAACTTCTCCTCTCCATCTGTGATGAGATTGTCAAGCACTCTCTGCCATATAGAGGGAACTGATATTACATAATAACGAAGTAGTCTTTTCTTCGTCGCCAATGAAATTTTCTTGTTTCTTAATACTTTGGTTAAATTTTGAAAGGCATCTTTCGCAACCCGCGTTTTCCATCCCCCGCAACTGACATCAATTTCATACAATTTCGATCGTATTTTAATGTGTAAAATGATTAATTTTAGCATCTGCATTTTTTAAATCGCATGTTGGGCTGCTTCCTCTGCTAACAAATACATATTCTGCCTTATAGTTGATGTTTACTGCATTTCTCTCGCTTTCCTTTTCGAATTTCTGCAGAAGTTCCTGTAGGCTCGTTTCTGTGTGGGTCACTGAGTCATCAATATATCCAATGTTATTGACATCTCTATTTAATTTATTATTTTTCTCAGGCTTATTTCTCTTTCAGTAACCCGTGATACTTAATATTGTATCTTGACAAGTAAAAATTTAATTTTCAGATGAACACAACAATAGTGTCTTAGAAAAACGATGAACAGAACAATTTTTGTCTTAAAAAAAAAACAAAAAAAAAAACCAAGACGCTGATGATGACATTTTACTGATGTTGAATGTACTCGGAATAAGTTGAATATGCATCAACATGGTAATTTTCTTTCTTCCTTTAATAAGGATCCTAAGAAACTTGTCCGCAGAGAATCCTATTAAAATAAGTAGACAAAACTTTCGAAATTATTTTATGAGATATGTCTTAACGAAAAAATGCTGCCAATATATATATATATATATATATATATATATATATATATATATATATAGGGGGTATACGTGAATCCGTTAACTCTACACACAAAGGCACGCATGTATATAGTTATAGATAAAATTATAAAATTAAATGCTTAATAAATGTTTAGCCACCACTTTTCGACAGATACTTCATTCATTTGTTTGAAATACTTTAGATAATAAATGATTTATTTTCTTTTCTAGAAATAGTTTTTTTGCTTCGAGAAAGCTATTTCTCGAGGTATGTTCCCGAAACTACGTATATGTAACATTGACGTATTCATACAAATGCAAATGTATGTGTGTGTGTGTGTATATATATATATATATATATATATATATATATATATATAAATTTTTAAGTTTATATATATATATATATATATATATATATATATATATATATATATATATATATACTTTTATGTATATAAATATGTCTATGTTCCTGTGTGTGTCTGTAAAAGCATTAACAAACCTATATTACAGTTGTGACCACAATGTATTTATTTAAAAGAGTCTTTCAATTGTATGTAATATTCTTCGAAAGAATTTCGAATTTGTTTTCCTCTTGGGATTTTAAATCAGTTATCTGTAAAATTGCTTGGCAGTCGATTTTTTCTTAAACAAAAACTTACAACAAAACAAAAAAAAAAACGCAAAATAAAATTCAATGTGCCGCTTTTAAAACCAAATTGAATATCGGAAAAATATAGTAAGTGGAGAATATGCCCTGAATTCTTAGAAATTCTTGTATCTTTAATAGTTATTACATTATGTTTTTGAAAATTTTGCCTATTTTTCTGTTCAGAAAACTGACATTTCGAAATGAAATAGACAAAAAATCCGAAATTGATGAAACCTATTCTTGACCCTAACAACAGTCCTGATCTCTCTAACCTTTGTTTGTACAAAAAACTTTACCTTACACAATTCCATGTCTGCACAAACTACATTTAACTGACTAAGAAAAGGCTTTGCTGACCTATTTTAATATCAGATGTTTTATGCATTGAGTGATAAGTACTGATTTTTAACTTTTGACTCTTTTATACGCAGCCGCCTTTACTTTTGGTGAGCCGACTTTCCAATTTATTAACTGAGATATCTGGCGATATTTTTCAGATGAGCTATTGTAGCTATTTACACTATTTACATTGTTCGGACTGTTGTCCACATCTTCATTGTCATAATAAATAGATCAATGCGTTCGTTGAAGTAATCAAAAAGTGACTTGACCCAAAGAGTTGTGAGTTCAATACCTGATCACAGCAGAGGGGAACTAAAACTTTGAGAGTTGAGTCACTAAGAGGGAATTTAACTGAAAACTGAGATATCTAGAAGAGATATGGCACGTGGAACTAGAAAAATCTACCTCCGTATACTAAATAAAGGTTCGCTTTGGAATGCCAACTTATATTACCTGAAGAATGCCCGAGCGTACAACGGCGGAAATGTCGTGAAAAGATAACTGATACTGAGAAAACTGAAGAGGCATGACACTTGGAACTAGAACAATCTACCCGGGTGACGAAATAAAGTGTTCAGTTCGAAGTTCCAACCAACAGAAGAAGGCCTGAACTTACAAAAGAGGAAAGGTCCTGATTATGAGAATAAAGATGAGGACAACAGTCCGAATAATGGAAATAGTGTAAATTGTTAAGCGAGACCTGAAAAAAAAAAATAACAACTACAATCTACCAATTTATCTATATTTTCTTACACGACTTCGTTGAAACCGGCTTGATATCACATTTTAACCCTTTTTTTTCCCATACTGACTGATTTAACCTTTTTTTTCTCCAGAGTGACTGACAAGAAGACGCTATTTTCTTTGAAAGTTTGAAATTTTGAGAATATTCTGAAGCTGGACAATTTATTTTTTTAATCATTAATTGTATAGCATTGTATATTTTTTTTTACGTTCGCTTGAAATTGTTACTAAGAGGTCAAAATCCTATTTCTCCATAAAATTTAGAAAAGGTAATATTTGTAACATGGTGGAATTACAAGATATATGAAGATATGAATCGATCAATCAAGCTGAAGAATTTACACTGTGAATAGTATTTAAGGAAACGGCCAAAAATTTATCACTAATCTGTGAATTTTTATGCCTACAGGAGAAATAGCTTAGTTGATAAAAGTGAATTCTGTGAAATAGTAATTGTAAAAATTCAACCCCGAAACCGGACTGTGTGTTTCTGGACTCAATGAAAACAGAGCGAGAAATTACTGATCAGTAATAAAAATATGAGGTAAGGTAGAATTAAGAATTGCGACTTTGATTGAGGCCTCGTGAGCCGTATTCAAATTCCAATTGAATTCTTTATATTCAAGTACTCACAAATAATCTTTCACCCTCTACACGCAAATATCCTTTCTCCCACTACACGCAAATACGCTTTCTCCCTCTACACGCAAATACGCTTTCTCTCTCGACAAACAAAAACCCTTTCTCCCTCTACACGCAAATACGCTTTCTCCCTCTACACGCAAATACCCTTCCCCTCTCTACACGCAAATACGCTTTCTCCCTCTACACGCAAATACCCTTTCTCCCTCTACACGCAAATACCCATTCCCCCTCTACAAGCAAATACGCTTTCTCCCTCTACACGCAAATACCCTTCCCCCCTCTACACGCAAATACGCTTTCTCCCGCTACACGAAAATACGCTTTCTCCCTCGACAAACAAAAACCCTTTCTCCCTCTACGCGCAAATACCCTTTCTCCCTCTACGCGCAAATACCCATTCCCCCCACTACAAGCAAATACGCTTTCTCCCTCTACACGCAAAAAACCTTTCTCCCTATACACGCAAATAACTTTTCTCCCTCCACACGCAAATAACATTTCTCCATTTACATGCAAATACGAATTCTCCCTCTACCCGCAAATAACCTTTCTCCCTTTACACGCAAATACCGTTTCTCCCTTTACACGCAAATACCCTTTCTCCCTCTACACACCAATACATTTTCCTCCTCTACACGCAAATACGCATTCTCTCTCTACACGCAAATATCTTTTTCCCTCTACACGCAAATAACCTTTCCCCCTCTACACGCAAATACCCTTTCTCCCTCTTGACGCAAATACGCTTTCTCCCTCGACACATAAAAACCCTTTCCCCCTCTACACGCAAATACCCTTTCCCCCCCGACACGCAAATACCCTTTCTCCCTCTTCACGCAAATACGCTTTCTCCCTCGACACACAAAAACCCTTTCCCCCTCTACACGCAAATACCCTTTCCCCCTCGACACGCAAATACGCTTTATCCCTCTACACGCAAATATGCTTTCTCCCTCTACCCGCAAATACCCTTTCTCTCTCTACACGCAAATACGCTTTCTCCCTCTACACGCAAATACGCTTTCTCCCTCTACCCGCAAATACCGTTTCTCCCTCTACACGCAAATACCCTTTCTCTCTCTACACGCAAATACGCTTTCTCCCTCTACACGAAAATACCCTTTCACCCTCTACACGCAAATAACAGTTCTACATCTACACGCAAATACACTTTCTCCCGCTACACGCACATACCCTTTCTCCGCCTAGCGATGAGTAAATAGTAGGACAAACTGGGGTCTATAGCCTTGAGTGGCAACGGTTCTATGAGAAGGAACACTCCACATTCACAACGTTGTAGCCCTGGCGAAACACACATACTATGCACCTAAGGAAATAATAGTTCTCATTGCTTCGATGATCTCGTTGATGGTCGTCTCGACTAAAAATAATAACTAAACATGGCGAATCGAATGAGAACAGTCTATCCCCGGAGATTAAATAAAGTGTCCAATCAGTGGGTTACCCAGATCAACATACGCCTGATGAAAACCCGAGAGCATAACGAACGAAACGTTGTGATAAAAATAACACAGGTGAATGTAAATAGTGTAAATAATAACATAAATAAAGACACATATATATTATTGGGTAATACTTCAGACTGCCCCATCAAAACACAGAATTCTACTATCAAAATGAACAATTCTGTCGTAGCGGGGAAAGTAAGCATATAAATTAACTATTTAACTCATGGTGAATGAAGGTTCTATATGCTTTGGTAGCAGTCGGTCTAGGAGAATGGAAACTGAATTCAAAACTCTCTGTAGGCGAACGTTATAAACAGTGCTATATTAAAATGTTGTAAATTAGAATCGATATAGTTTAAATTACTGAATTAGTATTTGCCTCAGACGAGATGAAGAGAGAAAAGATAGTCATATGAGGAAGGTGATATTTTTACTGAGAAAAGATATCTGCAATGAAAAATAGTTAAAAAATTGAAGAATACGGTGTTTTAAATTTTAAAAGAAATACATTGCATTCCAAGATATTAAAGTTATTTAAGAATTAGGATTCTTCTCCATGACGGAGGTGGGGATATTTCCAAAACATTCAGTGTTATAATTTCGAGTAAATTCTTTTAAAAGGCTTAAGAAAAGAATTAAATAGACAAAGTTGTTAGGGTATTTTCTTTTCTTTTATTGGATATAAAGAAATGTCTTGGCGAATTTTTAATATAAAAATGTGTTGAACTAAGTAATTGGACGTACTTTAGATAATACTTTTAAAAACCAGTTAGAAAAAGTATCTCGCGTGATTGACGCTTCGCTATCTATCTTGTTGCTTCTGGGTTGTTCGGTTGGCGATTCTTTTGAAACATATGCGTGTCTTCCTTTTCTACGTATTTAAGTCGGCTTCAGATGGTTTCAGCATCTCAGAATAAAATGCGTTTGTATTAAAAGCCAAAGATGTAACTGTCTGGCTATAATCAGAGATTCGACCATTTTCCATTAAATGCTCCATATAACAGCGCTTTTAATATGTCTACCTATAATTGTTGCTAAGGGCTCAGAATCCTATTCGTCCACGCAGAAACAGAAAGCTTTCTTTCTTTTACTTATTATCGTGGTATTACATGGCCAATAGATCTATGACTGGTTCAATAATGCAGAAGAAATAACAATGTTCATTACAAATTAACAATACACCAAATTATTCTTACAACATTAACTCCAGCGGTTTATAATTAATAATCTCCTAACTACATTTCATTTCCAGCGCATTTTTATAATAAAGTGATCAGCAATATATATTTTATAATAAAATGCGAATCGATGTAACATTTAAAATATATTAATACATGCTTGTAGTAAAATTATCAACAATACGTTTTGTGGTCTACAAAATATATATCTAAAAAATCTCACCTTTAATTTGATCGTATAAAACGATGTACAAATAATCTACAGTTGAAAGCATAAAAGTATGTAAAAATATAGATATTTCGCCATTAAAAAACCCATTGAAGTTGATAACTCACCAGAAAAGATCAACCAATCAAACAATCAAAGTGAAAGAATACTTTCATGGCATTAATCCATATAATATCCTCCAATTACTTAAAGAAATCAAACTGTATTCAAAAATATAATTTCAACAATACTACAACATAAAACAGACTTATCAGTGCCTCTAGTAATATTACCAAAGCAAACGTGTCTATTCATAAAAGCATCCGTGTGGTCAATTGTGGAAGCAGATTAAAATATATCATATTTTTCTTAATTCAAAGCTCGCAAGAAAATTAAATTTTAGCATTAAATGATTCATTAGGGGTTGATATTCTGTTAAAAAAGGCGCAAATAAATATTCAGAGATATCTAAATTATCAGTTACATACTACCGTTTTTTTCAGAGTCATTAGTGAGGTTTGCACTTTTCAATACAATATCAGAAACAATGATTTATTTTTAAATTACAAAAGTCTTATCAGCTGAAGTCTTTCAATAGCAGCAAGAACTAAAATGGATATAACAAATTTAAGTAGAAGAGAAAATAATAAAAAAAAGGAAGATGTTGACTTACCACGATCCTCTAAGCAAGAAGTTAAGAAGTAATTTAATTTTTTTTTTTTTTACTTATAACCCGTTTAGTCTGATATCGGAAAGTGGGCTTTAATATGTTAACCCTTCCAAATGTTTTGCTTTGTTATTTTATAAACTGTCGTTTTTCACTACGATTTACACATAATTCACACATTATATTAATTTTTGGAAATCGGGAATAGGTGGAGAAAAAGCTCGTGAACACGATGGGTTTTCTATGCACTCTGAACTCAGATTCTTTAAAATATCCAAAATCATTCGAACTCTGATAGCTGGTGTTTTTAATGGAAATGAAATATGTCTCTTTGCACCAACCTTCGCTGTTTTTCGTTCTGGGACTCATTTATTCATCACAGGAATTTCAAACCGTAACCTTCATAAATTGCTTAGCACTTTTGAAGATAATCACCGAAACATATTCTCTATCCTATATAACTATGCCTCTTCTGCTGTCTATTGAATCCTGGATTTTTATGGCTGAGGTGAACACGAATGTTACCACTGTATAGACTTGAGATTTGTTTTGCTCCCATCTCAATGATAGGTCGTTTGCTGAACTATCACTAGATTTTTAAAAAGGAGCAAACTCAAGTTAGGATTGTCCCCTTGATATCACTTATACTCAGTGTACAATCTCAGCTTACATATAACGAAATACATGTGGATTATAAAAATAACATGTTTCTGGATATATACCCTGTCTCATCATCTTTGGCTAATTTTCGTCCAAAAGCTAAAGGTTATGAAGTTGATCAACAATTTTATGAAGTAGATTCTTTGACGGTATAACAGACCGTGCTGCAAATTGTTTTTCAGAAAGTCCAAGCTAAAGTTGATACTTCACTCCTACAAATTTTAACACATCACGTAAATTAAGGTAACGCAGTATGCACCCATTAAATTCTTTTGGAGTTTTATTCTGCAAGAACTCTGGGGATTTTGAAATTTGGAATTCTGTAACCTAAAAACGATAATAATACTTAGTCTTTGAGAAATGAAGATTTTCGTAGTGAAATACAAAGAAGTGGGGCTTTGAGAAGTGTCTCTTTTTTGCAAGTGAGACTTTGAAAAATAAGTCATTGATAAGTTTTGGATTTGAATGAATCTTGAGCAGTGTTGGAGATGAAAACTGTTCAGCAGCAAATTTATTTTATAATAGAAACACAACCGAGGAATTTAAGGAAATATTTTTTAATTGTATTCGCCCCAAGCAAGGCAGTAAAACCACGAAATCACAGGGGGATGATGAGTGTAGAAGAATTAGAAACAGATATATTACTAAGAAGCGAGAACAAATGAAGGGTAATCAGGAGTACAGTAGATAACGATTAACACTGCATTTACAAATTAGAAGATTAAAGTATGGGGAGCATGGAGCCAGAAAGGAGTTAGACAAGAGAGAAGAGCAAGAGAAGAAACTGTTAGCATAGAATTTGCGGTTACATATAGTCAACTGAAATTTAAATTGATGAGATTTCGTCGCCAGTCAAGTACTGCGTTTTCATTCAAAATGTCTAGGTAAAAATAGCGAAGAGCTCATCCGAACAATTACCATGAAGTTATTTATAGAAATGGTACAGGGCAGCCAATTTACGGCTGTGGGAAAGTGACCAGTAATATTGCTGATTTTTCTTTCTTTTATCAAGAGGCTGTAGATAAATATCTGGAAAACCGCCCCATGTATGGCAACAATAGTCTAAGCATGGATGAATGGTACACCTATAGATATGTAGGACACATAGTGGAAAAAGTAATTGTCTAGTACGAGTCAGTGAACCCATTTTTTAGCAGCTGACCTATCAATGAATTCAATATAGTCTTTTCACTTCATGTCATCTGAGAACATTTGATTTCGTTATGCTGTACTTACAAACCGTTCTTTAGGAGAACAACAAAGGATGGTAACTCCGGACTAAAATACAAATAAAATGATGGCAATGCATCCGAAAGGGATTGTCGACAAGCGGAATATTACGGGAAAGCAAGAGAAGAAGGACAGTTTGGCATCAGGCACGGTGTCGATTGATAAATCAAGACGGGGTGAGAACACAATATAAAGTAGGAAAGATGATAATTACTACAGAGAAATATGAGGAAATTTCGAGTCAGTCAACAGAATAGCAAATAAATAGGCACATGTACGGCT